TGAATACAACTATACAAGTGTATTTACTCCATTGGAAACAATTTTTATTTCTAGTAAGTCAAAAGGAGGTATAAAATGTTATTCAGTGCTAGCACAAGTTAAGTGCATGTGAGAGAAGAAGTATTACAGGATAAAAGAAATAAAAAGAAGTTTCCTGTTTTCCCCAGGGTCACTAAGACTTTACCATTGGCTAAGGAAGACCACCTGCTGTGGCTGCAGCAAGCCAAGGCCAGGTAAGCTGGTAACTGGCAAATACAATAAACAACAGCTACATTCCACTCATCCTTCTCTCGACATGGGCACTAATCTGGGCCTCCTTCTTACTAAGAACTACATTCTCCTCAAAAAAATCTGGAAGCAACTCATTATTTGGTGACTTTCTACCTTCCATACAAACATGCTTGAAATGGGCCAATTTTATCCATGCATCTACTTAGAACACCTTGGGTTTGTGAAACACAAAGTACCTCAGAAACCAGTTTCTTTTCCTCTCCTTCCCCATCTTCAGAAAGGTCAATGAAGAAGTCTTTCCCATCAGGAGTTTTATCAATGAACCAGCCACCATCAGAGATCCATCTTTCACCTCTGGATCCTGGCGTGAGGGTGCTTGTTTGAGGTGCTGTTCTCACACAAGGAGAGGTCTCCACTGGGTCACTTTTTGGAGTGGGTGGAACAGAATCAGGATTTCCTTTCTTGTATAAGCTTAGCAGGGAACTGTTCATCTGATTTGTAGACTGCAGATTTACACATTCATACAAAAAGAAAATACACAGGACAGGTTTTAACTTGGATTATTTACACTTAGAGGTCAATGAAAACTATTTCATAAACATAATTCAGCATTATCCCTGATGAAGAAAATGGGCAATGCATCTTCCAACCCACTTGTCTGCAAACCAAATGCCTGCACACAAACCTACATGTCCTGGATGAAAGGGCAGTAGCCTTTGCAATTTATCCTGGAATGACTCCTGTTAATGGGCAGGCATCTCTTTTGGCAGTAGTTGGAGATGCCAATTCTTTCAATCACTTCATCCATTTGACAGCCAAGTTCTTCAGGCTCTCAGTGTGCCTTCCCAAAAGTGATTCCCCACCACATGTTCCTCTTTTCCCTTCAGAAAATAGCCTCCTTCCAGCTCCACAGATTCTCAGTTGGAATTGCTACCTCTGACTAGACCTTATCTCTATCTCCCCTTTTAAACTCTTCAAGTACAATTTCACAACATAGAATCATATATTATACAAATACAATCATAACAAAATACAACTTACTAGATCTTCTGGATAATCATCATAGTCAGAGTCATCTGTGCCACTTCCAGTAGTCCTTAACAGGGAAGGAAGACAAAAACTATTAATTTATCAGAGCAGAACTGCAAGTGAGACATCTGTAAAATAAAACAAAAGCAATTTCCACAATGTGGATCCCCATAATCATGGTATGTAGCCTAATGCTGGAGAGAAATTTCTGACTCCTGTGCTCATAATCTTTTACCATGAAAAGTTAAAAAATGCATCCTTTCCAAGCATGCGATGAGTTGGATCAACTTGCCAACCTGTCTGAAAGACAGACTTATATAAAAGTGATGTTGGTTCATCCTGATTCAATTCACCAAGGGAAATTGCTGAACCAAACCAACCCCTCTGACAACAGTGTCTTACTTTCCCATGAGATCCTTAATATCTATCCCAGGTTAGAGAAAGCAGAACACTCCATGAGGTTATGGATTTTGGGTTAGGAGTCAGGAAATCTTCACTCCAATCTCACACCCACTGGTGATTTACTCTGAATAGCCTGTCTGGTGGTCTCATCTCTCAGATGTGCCCAGCATCTCTCACACCCGCCACCGATTAAGAGCAAAACAAAGGAACTGAAACACATGAGGTTTTATGTGGAAAACTATCAAGGAAGCCATAAGGTTGTCCACTCAGGGCTGAATGTTCCCCATCACAGAGAAATCATGATTGGCTCTAATATCTGCTTGTCTTCAGTGCCAAAAAAGTTTCCAACAACTACAGGTAACTTCTGAAGAAGACAAGCCTATGGGAAATCAAGGATCCACCTGCACCCTTGAAATAACCAAAATGAAATAAACCAAACCCAGAAAGCTTAAAAGAAATGGTAACAGCAATGGCATTATTAACCTAGTGGTAAAAATTCTTCTTACTCATTTTTCTCTTGTTGTCTTGCTCTTTTTGCCACATGTTCAGATTCTAAAACTGCCAAATCCTCACGTTCTTTTTCATTACTGATTATTTCAAACACTGCAAGAAAAATTTCAACCGTGTTAAGAGTTAACAGCTAAAGCATAATCAAAGAATTTGGCATCTTGGACACAATATTAACAGATCTACCTTTTGCAACTTGTATTCTAAAGGCATTTCTTTTTCTTCGTCCATAATCTACACTGAAAAAAAACAAAAACAAAAAAAAGGTTACACCAACTGATTTTTCCCTCAACATAGTGTCATTCCCAGTGGAAAAGGTACATGGGAAGTTGATTCCAAGCTTCCACAGAGATTCTTATTAAAAATTATCTGAGTGAAAACATGATCATCCTGCTGAGCAACTGAACAATGTATCAGTGTCTTACTGGATCCTCTATCTGCCCCCAAGTTTGCACTGAGGTGTTATTTTTCCCCATATTTTAAACTCACTGGGGTAAACACCAACATGCTGCAACGAATCTGCAGCTATTTATTTAAAATAAACAAAAAAATCAACAAATAAAACAAAAACAAACCACAACTAGATCTTGCAATGCCAAAGTATTAATAAAATATGAGCCATTAAATATATCAGCACAGGGGAAACAATCTTATTGCTTCAATCAACCACAACAACTGGTAATGAAGGTAACAAAGAAATGACAACTTTATCATGAATGCAAAAGAACAAACTGATAAATTCTACATTTGGAACACAGATAAAAGAAGACAAATCTTGGCTCACCTGTAGGTTTTCTGCAAATCAGATGCTAGAATTCCAATGTCAACATACTCCCCGCATTTACTACTTGCAAGATACTGAAATGAAGAATTTTAAGCAGGGAATAAAATCTTTGTCAATCACTTCACCAGAACAGCTTGACCAAATATGCCTATTTTAAATTATGTCCTCCATAAACGTTGAAATTAAAATCAGAATTGGCTTTTCACTGCCTTGCAACACATCAGACAGTATTTCCCAACGAAATGGGAAATGCTTATTAAAGCACAGATTACTGGGCAGCTCTGCTTCCTGGGGAAAGGCAGCATCTTACATCTGGGGGCTTTGATGGCTTCTGCTGGGTCAGCTCTGTTACTTTTATTTACCAAGAAAGCTGACTCTGTAGCCCACACACCATCTTATTGTCTTGGTTCCTCTCAGTTACCCTCCTTTTGGTTTAGATCTCCTGCCCTAAAAATGAAACCATCTCTATAAATCAGCATGGATACTCGCATAAGAACAACTTTAATCTTTACAAGACAATTCTGAGAATACTATAGAGAACTATGTTAATAAGGTGAATTCTCTCAAGCCTTTGTGTTGCTCTGGCAGCAGTTAATCCAACCCATTTTCAAACCCCAATTATGAAAGTGTGAGAAAATGTACTAAATTTCATGTACAACTGTACTCCACTTGCTTTCTTGCCCACTCTCCAAATGAGCAGCGAGACCTTTTGATACCATAAAGATAGGTTCCTTCTTTAAAAAGAAGAAAATACAGAATCATCCTAAAAGATCTGGTATCACAAATGTCACAGCAAGGAGGATTTCAAACCCTCATTTAAATTAATAACTCTACACAAAACAATCAAATAGAATACATATTTAGCTTTTAAAATGCTGCACTTCAGATCACCCTTGGGCAGCTCCTGCTCTGCACGAAACATCAAGACTACCGTAAATCCAGCTGGGTTTTCCACTTTGGAATAGTCGAGACACACTCAATATGATCTTGTGAATTAAACCAAGCAAGTTTCCTTGAGCAATCAATCACTGTCTCATTTTAAGGAATTAGAAGTGGAGTACATTTATACAGAGGCTCAGAAACCTGGTATTCAAGGTGTAAAGTCATTATAAACTATTGCAAGATGTGACACAGCACTGTGCCACTTGAAGGAATCACAGTCTTCCCTGTTGTTCCCACATATACTTGGGAAGCAATCCCATTTTCCCAGCTATTCAATAAAATTACTGTACTTGTTTCCAAATCCAAACAGCATTTGTCAATACCACAGAATCACAGGACCAATTGGGTTGGAAAAGGCCTCTGAGACCATCGAGTCCAACTTGTGACCGAACACCACCGTGTCCAGCAGACCATGGCACTGAGTGCCACATCCAGCCTTTCCTTAAACACATCCATGGATGGAGATTCCACCACCTCCCTGAGCAGCCCATTCCAATGTCTCTGAAGAAGTTCTTCCTAACGTCCAAATATATACGTATATGCACACATATATTTACATACACATACCTATATACCACATGTATATATGTATCTATGTATCTACATACAGACACATATGCATACATACACACAGATACACACTGTGTGTGTATATATACACACATGCCCTATTCATTTCACATGTGAAGCAGCAGCAGCCAGCTTCAAGACCAGAACTACTAAAAAGGACAGAAGAATGACAGAAAAAATAAAAAAGATTTTACAGAAAATTAAAATAAATTACAATAAATTAATAGACCTTTCGAAAGCCTTTTTAAGGCTTTTCGAAAGCCCTCAGAGGCAGGGCCGGGGTTTGGTTTTCTCCTGCCACTGAGCGGGCCGGAGGCTCAAGGCTCCTCAGCCAGAGGGGGATACACGAGCCCCTCCCGCCGGCTGCCGGTGCCGGTGGTACCGGGGCTGCTGGGGGTGCCCCGGCAGGAGGGCGGTACCTGCTTGATGCGCTGCTTCAGCCGGGGATCGGAGACGCGGCCGGGCCGGCACCGCATGGCCGCCACCCCACCTGAACGTGAACTCCATTTCCCAGCGTGCCGCGCTCCGCGGGCCCGCCCAGGCGGGGCGGTGCCTACGGCGGCCGGGAGGGCCCGAGCGCGGCGGGCGCGGCGGCGGGATGGAGTCGGTGGTCTTCATCTTCTCGCTGATCGACTGCTGCGCCCTCATCTTCCTCTCCGTCTACTTCGTATCCTGCTCCTCCGGCGCGGGGAGGGAGTGGCCCCGGGGCTGGCCGGGCTCGCTGAGGCGCCGGCGGGCTGAGGGCGGCGGGGTGGGGGGGCTGCGCTGGCGATGGCCGCGGGGCCCGGGGGCTGCGGGGCGGCGGCGGAGGCGGCGGCGCGGGTCGGGCGCTCGGAGCGCGCTGGAACGCGGCGGCTGCGGGGCCGCGGCTCCACGGGCCGGCCAGGCCGCGGCTGAGGAGGCAGAGGCGCGGCACAAGGAGCGGGCGGTGCTGCGGAGCTCCGGGGCCTGAGGAGCGCGGCCGGCGGTGTTTTACCGCAAGGACGCCGTGCTCTGGGCTGGCGGTGTGCTCGTGGCTGAGGGGCTCCGGGCTCCTCGGCGAGCAGGATCTCCGTGCGCTTTTGTTAGCGGCTGGCCCGCCGCGTTTGCTGGCTGGCGTTGATGCGGTGTAAAGGCACGGATTTGACTTCTTTCCCTTACTTTTCTCAATAAAAGAGAACTGGCTTTCACGTTCAGTCCTGGTGGGATTTTTCAGGGTCTACCCGGTTCTGTTAGCAAAACCACTCGAAAAAAATTCATCCTAGAAGGATAAGTTGTTTGTTGAAAAATGAACGGCCTTTACCCATTTTTAGGAATAAGAGAAAGATCTCTTAGTGTTCATTTCCTTGGAGAAAAGAACCTTGAGCTGTACAGGAGAAAGGATGGTGAGGTGCACATGTGCATCCTAAGCCTTTTTTGAGAGGACTTTTCTGTCGGAAATATTTGTATTTCAGTCAGAAAGTTCATTCAGTAATGATGTTACTTTATTATTTCCTTGCAAAGTGTTAATTAATTCAATGTTGTTGTTAATGTTAAAAAAAAAAAAAAGTACATTCACTGTTTAAAGCTGCACAATTTCGTGAAGAGAGTTTGGGAGTGCATTAACTTCTCTGGCCCTTTAAGTTTTGGTTTCAAGGGTTGTAATAACAGTTTTGATATTAAAAGTATTGAGTTTGCCTCCCTAGTCTGTTTTAAGGGCTGAACTGAACTTTAGCACTTGTGCAACAGTTGCCCTTGGGAATATGTAATAAAATCACTTGGCCTGATGATAAAATGTAGCCAAGCCTTCTATCTAAAGTAGGAGTCTAATTGGAGTCTGCCTTTGACAGAGCGAGGTAGGGGGAGGCAGTGAATGCTAAGAGCAGAGGGCTTTCCCCATTTTATTGGCTAAAAGTAAAGCTTTGTGTATTCTGAATGACCATGCAGTGTTTCCTTATCCTGAACTTCAGATAATCACACTATCAGATCTGGAATGTGACTACATCAACGCTAGATCGTGCTGCTCCAAGCTCAATAAAGTAAATTGCTCTTTGCGTTTGCTGTGGTTTGAGGAAACCACATCCTTCATCTGAGCATTGCAAATAACTGGGGTGTGATGGGTATCTGAGGAGCCTTGATTGGCAGTATTTTGCATGTATCCCTTATTTCAGCCTGCTTGTCTTTTTTTGGAAGTCCATCTTTCAGCCAATTCCATCACAAAAGTACCGTTTTAAATTAATCTGCTTAAAACTCTTAGAATTAAATCAGTGTGGCATTCCCATGTGTGTTCACTTTGATGCAAAGGTATTTTTCCTTAATGTGAGAGAGAGTGGTACAGGATCCTGTCAAGCCAAGAACGTGTAATTGCCAGGGTCTGACCCAGTTTAACGATGCCAGTTTTTATATTGATCAGCTTTCTTATCTGTTCCAAGCCTGGGGCTGTTTGCGCAGGTTTTAATTATCTGAATTCCCAAACCCACTGTTCTCTGCAGTGATTTCAAATGAGCTCTGTATACTTTCTCAGTTCTCTTTTCTGAATGCTTGTGTAGTACAGTTGTGTTCAGACTGTGCTGCTCTCTAGAAATGTTTGTAACATTTGGAAAAAGCACCTCTGTAACAACATAGGCTTGATTTCTGCTTACTTGTGTGGAATCTGCCTGAAGGTACTAATTTGTCCACACTGTGATGGAACCACATGCCTCTGCTGTCAGTTCTTCAGATTTGACGTGGTTATAATCAGATTATAAGCCCAAATAAATGCCTTTTTCATAAAGGAATTTACATTTGTGCAGTTAACTCTTTCTTCTTTCTCCTTTTTGCAGTGGGTGGTGCCTGAGGTGATTGGCCATGCTGTTGTCACAGTCCTAATGCTTATTTCATTGCACTGGTTCATCTTTCTCCTTAACCTGCCAGTGGCCACATGGAATATATATAGGTAAGTGCTCAAGGGCTTGTGGGGTTTCTCTTTAGCACTGCTCCTAGTTTAGCTTTAAGTGTAAAGATGAATAATATGTCATGGTGAGATGTTTCTGTTGTGTTCTTCAGCTGCTAACAGTCTTCATTGATCAAACTGACATAATTTTGCATGTGTCATTTTAATGACAAGAAACCCAGCAGTGCAAAGGACATGAAACTTTTGGACTTTGCTTGCATTCTCTTTAGTTCCCAGGAATCTCCATTTGTGGGTCACTCCCAAATTCATAGGAAATCATAGCTGATTAATTGGGATTATGAAATAGTACTGAAAGCAGAGTTAATAATGTTTTCATGCTGTTCCTGATAGTGCTATCAGCATAACAGTGCTTAGGCTGGCATGGCTGATGGGTGTTAAACCATGGGGCTGTGGTCTTGTCCCCTGCACCCTCCTTCATTTACTCACTTGTGCCTTCCTCTCATCTGCATTGCTTTTGGGCCCCCATCCTGCAGGATTGTATCTGGGAACGTTTGCAGCCTTTTCACCCTAGGAGAGCTGTCAGTGTTACTGCTCTGTGTACACTGGGCTGACACCCTTGGAAATGGTTTAGTCACCAGTGGGGCTTTCCATGTGGCAACACTTGGACTGTCAGTTCAAACCATGTTCTTTCTATCTGATATCATTTGGTGTGTGGAGAACTGACCCTTCACAGGTGTTTAGCTGATGGAAACTGGATGTGGATTTGTCACAAATTATCTCCAGTCACTATACTGAGGGAACCCAAAAGCCCAAATATTAAATGTACAGGTATGGAAAGCTGGCTGAAATTCTTGTTTTCCTGAACCTGTCAGTTCTAACTGTTGGCAAGGATGGGTTGAGTTGCTGGTAGGATTAAACAAGAAGTTTCATAGCCCTGATTAAAACAAAGCTGAGGATCTCTATACTGATAACTTGGTTGATTTTGGACAAAATAGCTGTGCTATTTAAATATTGATAAATATTGCCCTTGTTTTCTACAGAACAGAAAAGCCTTCAAATGTTTCTAAGCTGGAGAAACATGAGACAGTATAACTTTATGCTTAATAAAGAAATGTTGCCTAAATACACAACATACGGCATGGCTTTGCCTGGTTTTGTTTGCCCTTCCCTATGTACAGCTGTGACCTACAATGACCAGTATTTGGTTGGGGATCTGCTGGCAAGTTTAGGATGTGATGTTTCATTTAGGATAGGCTGAGACACCACAGACAGAATGCATTTTCTTTGAAACTGTGAAAATTTCTTGTGCTGGTTACCACTTTGCTGCTTCATTTTGTGTACCTGTGTTAATTTTTAAAGTAGCAACTTGCTTTCCCTTCTAAAACTGGTCAGAGGGAGTTTTAAAAAGAGAAATTATTTCTATTCCTACATGTCAGGCAGTAAGCTTTGATTGCTGTTTTGTATTGACAGCTCTCATTTTATATATGTCCTACATAGCATAAATATTCTGAATATCCTAAAATCCAGGATTGTTTCCCGAATTTTAGATGTGCAGTGTAGGCAATAAGAAGTCAAAATATTAGGCCTGTATCACTAACTCTCCCTTCTTTCTGTGGATGGAGGAGTTTCTCCCACATTAATAGCCTGGACTATCCCATCTCTAGTGAAGGAGCTGGAGGCCTGCAAAAGCAAGTGCAGGGTTTAGCATTTCCAGCTCATTAGGAACTGTAATGATAGCACAAGGAATAATGGGTTCAAAGTAAAAGAGGGGAAATTTAGATTAGAAATACAGAAGAAAAAGAATTCTGTTGAGATTGAAGAAGTCCCAGCTTTGCTGTGTAAGTGATAGAGGGAAAAGCAGGATAAACTCTTCCCTTTATTCACTTTTCACTCCTTAATCCCAGTGACTACATGGCAGCTATCAGCAGTACTGCCTTAATTTAGTAATTTTCTCAAGGATTTCAGCGAGAGGAAAGGGGTTTTGTGCAGGAAAGGTATCAGAAACAAGTCCTGGGAAGGATAGATTAGTCAAAAACAGCATTAAGAGAGACTTTCAAATTTGCCACATGTTTATTGTAACATCCTACTGGCCCTTCTTGTTCAGCACACTCAGATGATATTTAACTTTTTAAAATGAATTTTGTATTGTCTCCAGTGAGACAGTTTTGCTTACATTCTCCTTGTTTTAAAACTCAAAGGGAAGCATTCACCTTTTTTTTCTTCTTTGTTACATAGATCTCCCTGAGAGAGTAGGTCCAAATAATGAGATTCTTGCCATGCCTTTAAGAAGACAAAACTGAAAGAGTAAAAAAAAAGTTGAAAAAAAAAATCTTTACAATTCACTGAAAATTCTGGTCAGAACTTCTACATCCCTTTAAAAATTGGGAAGTCTAGAGGGAAGTGTCCTGTTGCTGTGGTAGCAGCTTCCACTGATTGTAAATCCTGGAGGCACCATGGTGTATATTTATTAAAGCTGACAGTTTATTTGTTTGCTGCAGAAGTTTTTTTGCTGTGTAGAGGATGACAGCTGGCTTGAGCTGGGCTTGTCAGCATCCAGCAGCATTGAATCCATGGCTCAGTTCCTTAATAATAAAATATAGGTTGTCCTGCCTTGTGGGCCTCTTGGAAGAAATGCCTCACAGCTTACACAATTAAGTTGCATCATTTAAGTGTCACCATTTTTAAAAAAAGCAAAATTAATGCATGCTGTCTTTATGACACTCATATCCCAGACATGTAAGAAAATTATGCATTCTGTTTGTAGGATAAAATGGTACAGGAAACGTGTTCCTCCTTTTATTCCAATAAAATGTTTTACATTGCCAGGAAATTGACAATAATTTGTCTTATAACACTAAAAAACAGAACAACCATTCAAAACTTCAAATTTAGAAGACAATTCCAAACTGGAATTATTTAACATGAACTGTTTTTAATGGGACACAGCTGTCTTTGGTATTAGTCAAATATGCTGCAGTGCTTTCCTGTGCCTCTGTGACAGACAATTACTGTGGCCTGAACTTTTTCTTTCCTAATGTCCTACTGCTGCTAGAAAATCCCCCTGTTGCTTGTTCCCTTTCCTTCCTCTCCTGTTATGGAAATGAATGTTGTAAGTGGTGGGGAAATGCCTTTTGGACTACAAGTGGTGCCATTGGAGTAAATGAAGAAAATTGAACAAGTGTTCTGTTCTGAGACCATGTTTCTGCTCCAGCTTTAAGAAAAAGGCTTAAAATCCTGTATAGAAAGAGTCTGATTCCAGGAAAGTAGAGCCTGCATAACATCTCAGTGATGTTCTAGCCTGAGCTCAGCTGGAGTAAGAACTTCATGTGCTCCCTGGAGAAATTCTGACAAGAGAACATGCTGTTGGCTCAATTGTCATAGGACATAAACATTTGGTTTGCTGTTTTTATGCTTCCTTGGCTTACATTCCACTTGGCTTCACTCAGCTGTTGTTCTCATGGGGGTTCAGAACCTGACACCTTCAGTTCTGCCCAACTCATCCTGTCAGCCTCAGTGTCTGTGCTGAGGTGTCCCAGGATGGCTGTGACAAGGGCAGGAATAACAGCAGACATCCTTTGCCTTAGCTTTTGCCATCTCATTGTGACCACTGGAGTTTGTGATGCTCTCTGTGAGGTTTTTTGCTAAAGAAATTACTGATTCTTAGTTAAATTAGGTTATTTTCCAGTCCCTTTCATCTAATGCATCTTTCCACTGTGGGTGGGCGTTTTCCCCATGACAGGAACTAACTGTGAACACAATTAAAATTAACTGGAATTGGCTATTACCTGGAATCTCTCTCATTTATACATGGGAGGCTGGGCTGATGTTTTTAGTACTTCTTGTTCTCTTATTATTTGTGGGTTGTAGTGGCAGAGATAGCTGCAATATCCAGAACTCCCTTACCTTGAATTGTGAAACAGCTCTTTAGATGAAAGGCCTTTCTTGGCAAGATTTCCCCTGCTTCTTGCCCTGACACTCCCTAATGTTTCAGTGATTACATTTTTGGGTTTTGTTGTGTGGTTTTTGTTTTGTTTTGTTTTTCTCTCTTTAACTTTCAGGTACATTATGGTGCCAAGTGGAAACATGGGAGTATTTGATCCCACAGAGATCCATAACCGAGGACAACTGAAATCACACATGAAAGAAGCCATGATTAAGCTGGGCTTTCATCTGCTCTGTTTCTTCATGTACCTTTACAGGTTAGTTTCAAAAATTGCTCCCAAGGAACAAAAGGATTGTCTGCCAGCTATTTTTATCTCCTCTAATCCACTGGTGTAATTGCTGGTATTCATGTCTTAGCTTTTTGCATCCGGCTAAGCCTCAGTAATATATTTTGACAGCTATCTCTGGGCTCATTATATGCCTTTATTCATTCTGATCAACCACTGTTTGGAAACTCAGGCTATTCCTTAATCTCAAAACCACAAGTACAATGTAAAGAGTTACATGTTTTCAGCCCCTACAGTAAGTGGCCTGTTTAGAAAGGATATACTCTTGAGAACCAAGTTTATTTTACAAGTTCTGTTTTTAAAAAACGAAGTTGATCTGGTGGAATTACAAACAGATGTGTTCTGTGATAAGGCCACTTACTTCAAGGTGGCAGAGCTGCTGTTCCTCTGCTGCAGTATTGCTTCTGCAGCCTTGTCTTCCTAAACAAAGCACACAGCAGGGTACCTTGACTTTCTATTTCAGCTCTCCCGTGACAGTGAGAGCTGCTCCTGCTTGCATAAGCTTCAGTAATCCACTGGTATCATGTTTTCTGTTTTGTCACAGTATGATTCTGGCTTTGATAAATGATTGAGAAGTTGAAAGAGAACCATTAGCTGCCAAATTGGGTCATCACTCCAGTGACTGGTTGAGGAGCCACAGACACCTCCCGAACACACCCAGATCAGTGTCGTCATGCAGTATATTTTTCCTCTTTGAACAAGAAATATTTTTCTGTATTTTTAACATAAAATATTTTCAAAAGACGTTGGATCTGTGTAGCAGTTGTTTTTGTTCCTTTACAAGCCAAACTGCTGGAGCTGCTGTTTCTGCAAGATGAAATCCTTGCTTACAGAAGTGACCTTGCAGGAATTAAAAGGTGATAAGGGAAACTTGTTTCAGCAGCATGAGCTGCTAAGGATGGTAGTTCCAGAAAACATTTAAGTGCAGCAATGCTATCTGATTCTTGCTGAGAGGTGTCAGGATAAGACTCTGGCTGCCAAGCTGTCCTATCAGAGCCTAATTTGAAGCAGCACTTGGAACAGATTTTGAAGTGGAACAGGAGCACAGCTTGCATCTTTCTGTTGGTACTCTTTCCAGACAAAAATCAATGGAATAAAAATTACATTTTCCTCCCTACCCCCCCAACCCGCAGCAACCTATATGAAGTCTTGTATTTGGATGGATTAAGACCCCTTTGGAGGACATGACACCTGTAAGAGTGCACATAAACAAAAAACATGATTAATACTTGCTTTTTCCCTTCAACTCCTATTTTGTCACTGAAGTACATCATGGAGATCCAGATAACGAACATATTGCACTGGGGTGGAGTTGCTTATAGAGCAGAAGACTAGCTGCAGTTGCTGCTCCCTGAACCTGCTGTTTGCAGAGCCAGTGGGGTGAAACTTGAGTCTGTCTAGCTCAGGGAAAGGGTCTGGTAACCCATAACCTCCCTCATCCCAATTCTGATGTGACTCTGCTTCAGTGATACCAGCAAGTTCTTTTTGTGCAGCTCTTGCATCGGTGATTAGTGTATAAACTTGAGTTTGTACCCTCACTGTCCAATAACTGTCTTTAAGTTTTTTATATGTGCTTGCAAACAGGTCTCTTGGAACAAACACATCAATTAAAACACTTTTAAAAAGATACACTTATGTCATTACGTCCAAAAATTTATTATCTTTTTCTTCTTAAGTACTTGGGGTTTCAGTGTACAGCTGGAGTCAACAACTGTTTTCAGGGCTAGCCATGAAGAGGCAACACTGATGCTTTATTGCTGTAGATAATCTTGTGTTCAGTGTTTGTTCTAGGAGAAGTTTGGCTTTAAATTTTTGATGGATGGAGTCCAAGTTCAGCTGTGTTAAAGATGAAAAACTGCTGAAAATTGTGCTCATTAAAAAAATAACTAAGGAAACAGCTACCCCAGCTGGATGCCACTGAGTACCTGAGAGCACAACCTCTGCCCTATAAAGCCAAAACCCAGACAGGAGGTAGGTCTGGAGAAAGGAGAGCAAATAAAACTTCAAAGAGTAGAAAGTAAGTAACTTTTTTAGCAGATTATGGTAGGCAATTAAATGATTTTATTCATGTGTGAAAAAAGCCTACTACACATATTTTGGGTGTTAGAAGAAAGAGCCTAAGTCAGGTCCTTGCTGTACTGCTGACAGTAAATACATTTCCCTAAACTTGTTTCCCACTGAGAAACATGAGCATTAACCTAATTTAAAGTCCATTAATTAAACTAGCAACTTGATATCTTATTCTAAAAACATGGTAAGTCAGTTCTCTGCTCATTTATATCCAACAATGGATTGTAAGAGTTGTAAAAACCTCAGCAGCAGGTTTCAGAGACTACAATTCTGCTGAATAACTACACTGGTAATGCTGAAGCCTTCTTACTGTACAGGGTCAGGGCCTGCTTCAACAAAGATCTTCAGAGCTCAGTGTCACCTAGAGAAAAAAAATGTATTTGTAATAGCTAAAAACATGATTAATTAGTTAGAAATAGGAATACTGTAGTTATGTCACTCTTGGGAAACCCACAGAGAATGGAAATTTTTATGGTAATAAAAATTTAAAAAAAACCCTAGTTTCCAGCAGAGAACGGGGGGGTAATGTAAACCCAAGCTCATCATAAAGATTCAAGACAATTATAAACTTGAGACTGATTTTTAAAAAAATTCATCTGATATCACTATAAATTAGTGTGAGGTCAAATACAGATTCTTTCCTCAGACTATTTCCCTCTGGACTTGAGGTACCCAAGTATAACTTTGTGAGGAACCATTAGCTATGATTGATAGAGAACTCCTAATCAGTGAAAATAAATAAAAAGTCATGCAGGGATTCCAACTTGTAACTGATGTTACTGAGCCCTTTTCCTCACCCACAATCTACAGCCTGGCTAGATTGCAAGGATGATCATCCTGCATCAGTTTTCAGAGAGATTACATAACGGTTAAGAATTCTGCATTTGGGGGGGGTTAGTTAAAATGTGTAGAATTGCATGTTTCCCCCTAATTAGTCATTAGTTAGTCTGTTGGTTATTGAGCCTGTTTTTTAAAGAATATACTTGCCTCCTCAATCTAGTAAATGACTAGTTTGGTTTTCTAAAGTGGTTCTTTATTATGGAACATGGTATAAATCAGTGGTCGGACCTAAGAATAATTCTACATGCAGGTTAACAATCAACCAGAAACCCTGATAAGCCCAGAAAGGCATATCTTTATCTGTTCAGGATTGTCAGAGCTTTATTCTAATTCCTTCTTCTCACAAGAAGCTCTCTAGGATTTTGTACAAGTGCCAAAAGACCATTTATGCCTTTAAGTATAGAGTATGGTGGACAATGGAGTAGCACTAGGAAAATTTGGGCTATATGTTATGAACCACCACGCAGTTATCAGCACATTCACCACTTATATTTGGCAGGAACACAGGCATGCAAGCCTCAGTGGTTACCCTTCAGAGCATTATAGATCTTTTAAAGTGAGGAGACAACTGGCACTGCCATGCTTTTGGGATGAGGTGACAGCCTTGGCACGTGGAAGACACGCAGGGAGGTGAGCAGGCAGCACAGAGAGCATGGGACAAGTAAGGAAGGGCTCTCCTCAGGCAGAGTTTGGATTTAAGCTAAGTAAGAAAAGCACATCTACTTTCAGGTTCCTTTTGGAATTTCTTTGAAATAATCTGAATTATTTTTAAAAACAAAAACCAAAAAACACATTAGAAAACAAAAACAAACCTCAAATCCACAGGACTTAAATCTTACAAAGGCTGAAAGGTCATAGGCCCATAGAATTCATGTACCTGTTTCTCTTGCACTCTTCTGACCTATTAAAGGCAGACAGGATGGCAGATGAAGCACAGCTTTTTTTGGCTGGGGTTGTTAGTAACTTCCTTCATCTGCTGTGTGAATAATTTATGGCTGAAGTGGGCCTGCAACTCAAGAACCCTCCTGCAAATACCAGTAGCCGAGGGAAGTGGCACAAAGGAGGACAGGCAGAGGAATAAGGCACGTCCCTTCTTTCTTGGCAGCTGCATTTAAGCCATGTTACCTGGCGTGTACTGCCTAAACTGTAAGGGAGAGAACAGAGCTAAATACAGAGGTGCTACTAGAGGGAGTGAAGACTTCTAATCAATACATAAGTTAAAAGAATTCAAAATATGGAAGGCACATCAGCAAAAGGTTTGAGTTTGGAAAAGCTACAGGGAGTGGAAATGCAGGCACAACCTTTTAACACAACATAAGCTAGAGCTGAATAAAAATGCAGGACAAAAATGAGGTTCTGGTTTCACGCCCAGGAAGCAGGGAAAAGAACACGGGATCAGTTGGAGGGAACACAAAGGCAGGAGATCCAAATACTTTAGGAGCACCTTCTTGCTATGAAGTATCAAAAAAAACCCCATACAACTCACAGATCACCTACAGCACAGCAACCAGACTGGTATTTAAGCCAGCTGCAGCATTAAGGAATGATGTATTTCACAGAGTCTCAAAGGGAGCAGATGTTGAGCAAGTGAGATAAGCACAGCCTGGGACATGGGCAAGTCAAGTGCTAAAGTGCAGCACAAACACAAGGGTGAGGTGGATTAGAGCCAGACAGCAGAGCCTGGAGAACCTGAACACAGCACTGAGTGACTGTGCAGCTGCAGCTACACTGCCACAAATTAATTTTCCTAGCAAGGAAGTGAAATACTATGGCAGAAATCTATAATTAATGATCAAGAAATTAACATCCAAGTCAGTCATATAAGTGAAGTTAGGGAAACTAAGAACTATTCATTCCAGTTATTTATTGTTTATTGAATTGAAAGAAAAGGAATACAAACATTTCTGTTAAGTGCTGTGCACCAACATGGAAAAAGTGTGTTTTTTTAAAAATTCCTAATAAAAACAAATCAGAAGTTAATGTAGTTCCAATTGAACAATTTTTAAAGATATGTTTAAAATACTACACATTTATAAAATAAAAAAGTTAAAACGGTGTTCTGTAAATAATTAGTAAAACAAGTGAAAATAAATACGAGACCCAAAGTTCTTATGTTTTTAATGTAATATAGCAAAGAAATTTTTAACTACTTAATAATATCTGAGGAGAGTAACAAAAATCCAGAAAGTTTAAGAACGCAATCCTTTGAAACATTTAATATCAGTCCATAGCAAATAGTCATTACATACCAAAAGCTCTAAGTGTTAACTAGTTCCACCACAACTCCATATAAATCTTGACAATTTAGAAATCTTGAGATCAACAATAAAGTTCTTTTCTTGATCTCTACAGCTTGGTTTGTAAGTACATACATGCTTTGAGGATCCATTTTGTCCCATATGTTTTCAAGGAGCCAATAACTTTTTCCATCTGTGCCTAAAAATGTTAAGTTTCAAATCTAGCACGTATACCCTAAGAATGAAAAAATGTTTATGAAAAAAGATGGGGCACAATGAATTTCAAATTTATAAAAATATACTGATATTAACCAAAACCTTCTGGTCAAAGGACACTTCACATACACACGACTTAAAGTATGCAATAAAACATGACAAGTACCTAGAACATTTGGTTCTCTGTCTGTTCGTGGAACACATGCACACACACACTCATACCAGCTGGGAGGAACACTCTCACAGATGTTGTACTGAATCCAGATTATCTGGATGAATAGACAGAAAACTTGGCTACAGTTTATTTCAACTAGAGGCAGCTACTGCAGCAGTAGTTCAACACTGCATACTTCAATTAAGTCCACCCTGTTTAAAAAAAGTGTCATAGTTAATGGTTTTGCTTTCTAAACATTGTCAAAAGTAGCAGTTTTCAAAAATCAAGTATGGCAGCTGAAAATAGACTCAAGCCAATGTGGAAAAGACAGGAGGAGGGCAAAAGGAGGATTAGCCATTTATGGGATGGGTGTTCCTCTTAATAGTCGTCTCAAAAAGAAATTAGATACAAGTGTATTTTGTAGCTAAAAATATGGACAAACTATTGAAAGTGCATTTTTCCTCCTCCCCCTTGAGTTACAGTAGTCTGTTGGTCAGTAAATCCTGCTTTTTATGTCCATTCTTTTTTCTCTACCTCCCTCCCCATTTGGATCTACAACATATCCCCTCGAGCTACAACTAATTGTACAAGTCCTGGCTTCCTGCTAAGGAAGCCTTTACAACTGATTTTGGGTGGGAGTATCACTTAGCAGTGTAAAAATACACAACTAGACACCAACTCCCAACAGCAGACAGTTTTATTAAACATTACCTGGTTGAAGCCAAGTTGAGAAGTAACTGGCAAGATCTGGGCAGATTTCTAGCTTGCATCTTTGCTCCAATCATAAAGAGAAGTTAACTTTAAAGTTGGAGAACTTTAGAAAAGACAGAGGGAATTTAAAAACAAAAGGTGTCATTTCCCCAATTTCCCTCCCCTCCAAAACATGAACAGAGCTACCATTTTCCCTTTTGTGTTCCATTGTGCCTTCAAAATTACTTACCTGAACAGCTAAAGAACATTTAGATAATAAAATGCTTCAACTTTTTTTTTTTTTTTTTTTTGAGATCTGCCTTGATAATAACCTGGGGCTACTGTGAATACTTGAAGCCAACAGGTGACCAGAGGAAGTTACAAAATGAGTACACACTTACAGTATTTTCCTCTCCAAAACCATGGGCCTGCTGACTGGAAATACAGTAATTTATTGTGGGTGTGTACTTGTTCCAGCCTTACACTCCAGCCTATGAACATTTTTAAGCACATGGAAACAAATGTGTTGCAAATGAGCAAACTGATTTGGGTTTCCCCCCCACCCCACCCTGGTCTCATTTTATCAGCTATGCACAAAAAGTATTGGTACTTTTCAATCCACATAGTGTGAATATGCAATTTGTTGGAAATAGTTTAGGTTGCTTTTT